GTATGTACTAGCTGATGAGATAACACATTCACATTTAATGACCAATTTTACATGCACTCTGCTTCCCCTTGCTCCCTCACTTTCTCTCTCCCTCCCTCTGCAGGATGCTAATGGTGTATACTGCTTGTGTACTCAGTGCTCAGGGAAATCTATTGATGGTCAGTTACACATATAGTGAACATCAGTTTGTAGTTGCTTGCTTTTTTTTCTCCATGTACTTTCTGTAGTATCATGTATTGGATACTTCAGGTAATACACAAGGTAGCATCTTCATGTCAATGCCTTAGACCACTGTTAGTGACTTTGGGTACAGAATCTTCCTCTCATATTGCTACTGTACCATCTACTATAGTTAACCAGGTAATACAGTAATATAGAGCAAATGCTTGTAAGTCATTATTTATATATAGTTACTGGCTGATGTATGTTCACCAGATTCTATTAAGAATCTTAATTCATTACCAAATGAAAAGGTTAATAATTCATTGTACATGGTTTATAACTATGTGATTGTATTATTAATAGGTGATCTCAGTTGGTGCTGCTTTATGTAGGCGTACATTGGAATTAATAGCAGAGAGAGATTGGGTTGTTTGTATAGATGCATTGTGTGATACTAATAGTTTCATACTATCATTCAAGAGCACTATACTGACTGTTAGCCTTTGATTATACATAGATTATTTTTTTGGGGTATATTTTTTGTTGTCATAGGTGTATCAGTGCCATATTTGTTTCATTGATGTGAATCTGTGTTTCAGGTACCACCAGTCTGGGGTGGCGCATTTTGGGCAGGGATGTAGCATCATTACATGTATGATACATGTAATTCTGTTTAGGCAAAACTGATATTGTTATTGAAACAAGCAATAAAATACATACACACAAAAATTATGAATATATTGTAAGTGCTATGGTCCAGCTTCTGTATAGAATACCCAAACAGTTGGTGAAGTGGTGTCAATGTAGTCTGATGGTGTCAGCTCCTCCATAGTGTCAATGTGCTCAGCAGGAAAACTGTTGATTTCTACAACCTCCAGCTCCCCTTCCTCTTCTGCAATCTCTCTATTGTCTAGGTTCCCCAGGATGACTATCCTTTCCTCAGGACTGAAATTGTTCATAAGCAGCCCTGAGATAACCACTCTCTCTCCATCATCTGGAGTAGTTGACTGAGCAGCCTCAGACTGATATTGAAAGCTGCTCTCAGGTTTTTCTCCTGTATCCTCACTATGGAGCAATTCATCACGATTCTTAAGTTTTTTGTCCGTATCATCACTACTAATACCATTTGTGACCATAGCTGCATTGCCTGGAGGGAGAGGAAGAACGAGCTCTTGCTTTGCCATTTTGCCCCGAGGTGGCCGGAGCTATGCTACTAACGTAAATTCTTTTTGTACAGGATTAATTCTTTTGCACAGGATTACTCTTTTTGCAGCACCAATTTTATTATAGGTGGAGCTAGAGTTATTATTAGCTAGTTATCATAAGGTTAGGCCTTATGCTTATGCCTACGTTTTTAATTATATAACTATGGCTGC